TGGTGTGGGGAGTGAGTGGGTGGAGAGAAGCGTGGCTGTGAGGAAGGGATCCCGTCCTTGGGGAGTTCCCAGACCTGTGGGTCAGGAGAGGGGGGCTGGGGCCCCTTGGTGGAAGAGGCTACTGGGCGGCCATGACTGGTTGGTAGCACTTTGTCAGGCAGCTCCCTGGAGGAGACAAGGCCTTGGGTGCCCAGCAGGCCTCTACACCCTCCCGTCTGCCCTGCCGTCCGTTTCCAGGAGGACACATGGGCTCCACGGCAGCGGCTGCAGAAGCACCTGGCTGAGCATCTGCGCCAGACCTGGGGCCGGCCGGGGGCCCCGCCACAAGCCCGAGACCTGGGAGAACTGCTGCAGGCCTGGGGCGCTGGGGCCCGGACTGGTGCTTCCAAGGGCTCCCGCTTCACACACTCAGAGAAGTTCACCTTCCATCCCGTGAGTGGGTCTCAATGGATACGGGGATGCTGACGGGGCCGAGGCAGGCTCACACGGTTGCTCTGTGTACGGACAGCACACTTTGTCCACACTGGTTCCTGTGTGTGCCACACTGGGAGGATACCCAGATGGGTCCCCTGGGTTCTCAGTGGAGAGAAGGTGGAGGCGGGGAGACCGTGTAAGGGTGTAGGAGTGCCCCTTGTGCAAACCCCAGCTTCCCCTAGACAGTATCTTCTGGACATATCTTCTGTCCTTGACCCAGAGGGGCCCTCATCCTTCTCATGGGCAGGTGGGCAGGTGCTGTCAGGGTCAGGAAGGTTTCTTTATGAACAAATGCTTCCAGCCTGTGGTCTCAGAGAGTGCCCGGGTCCTCATACACAGCTATCGGCAGTTGAGCGGACATGAGGATGGTGCGGGGAAGGCACGTAGAGGGGGTGCAGAGGCAGGGCTGGGAGGGGCAGGGCCTTCCCCCGATAGCCAGGATACTCCCTTCTCCCTCCCCCAGGAGCCTGAGGCCCAGGTAGCCCAGGTGTCTGATGTGCCGGCCACCTCCCAGCGGCCTGAACAGGTAAGCAGAGCAGTGGCGCCGGTTCTGGGCCCTTGCCTGCCTGCTGGGCCCGACACCCCCACCCCAACTGGCCTGTGCCTCTCAGGACACGCGGGCAGCTCAAGAGCAGGAGTTGGAGTCTCTTCGGGAACAGCTGGAGGGAGTGAAACACAACATCGAAGAGGTTGAAGCCAACATGAAGACCCTGGGAATCAGTCTTGTGCAGGTGGGAGGTGGGGGCGGGGTTGCCCACCTGGGGTTGGGTCACAGTGGGGCATAGAGGGCTTAGAGGGACTTGCAGGGGCTGAGAGGACTTTGTAGAGGTCTACAGATGTCAGAGGGGTTCATGGGCGACCTTGGGGATCCGTGGGCTCTTGAGGGTTCAGGAAAATCAGTGGGGGTGGGAGAGGGATGTAGGGCTGGGGGGTCGGACCTGTGGAGGTTGGGGCACCTGTGGGCATCAGTCAGGCTGTGTGAGTGTCTGTGAGAATCAGGAGGGGTGCGAGCATCTGTGGGCATCTGTGTGGGCATGATGGACCTGTATGGGCAGGGGCCGATGGGCCTTGTCAGGGGTCCCGGGGGTCATTGTGGAGGTGGAGGGGTCAGAGGGACCTGTGAGTGGCTGTAACCGCTCGTAGGTTTCTGTGGCAATCAGGAGGGGCCAGGGGGCTGATGGAGGGTAGAGGGATGTGTTGTCATCCGTGGGGGCTCAGGTTAGGCTAGGACTTTCCAGGCTCAGTGGGGGCTAGCGGGCTGTGGTTTGTGGCTGGCCTCCTCCACTAATGAGAGTGGGGGTCATGGGGAGCCAGGTGGAGACCGAGTGTCGGCAGAGTGAGCTGAGCACGGCGGAGCGTGAGCAGGCCCTGCGCGTGAAGAGCCGGGCTGTGGAGCTGCTGCCTGACGGGGCTGCCAACCTCACCAAACTGCAGGTGGGGCTGGCGCCATGGCTGGGTGGGAGGGTTGGAGTCGGAAGGCTCCAGCCTGTGTGACGGGTATCCCCTACCACCATCCCACCTAGCTCGTGGTAGAGAGTAGTGCCCAGCGGGTGATCCACTTGGCGGGTCAGTGGGAAAAGCATCGGGTCCCTCTCCTGGCTGAGTACCGCCACCTCCGAAAGCTCCAGGATTGCAGAGAGGTAGGTTGTGGGGTCCTGGGCTGTATGTGGGGAGCAGGTTCAGTCCCTCCCGAGGGGGCTGTCCCTGTTCTCTGCTCACTGTCCCTCTGCCCATGGGGTCCTGGCAGCTGGAATCTTCTCGACGGCTGGCAGAGATCCAGGAGCTGCACCAGAGTGTTCGGGCGGCTGCCGAAGAGGCCCGCAGGAAGGAGGAGGTCTATAAGCAGCTGGTAAGGCCTGCATGGGGAGCCTCTGGGTGTTTCGGAGTGGGTTCGGGTGAGGGTCCCAGAGGAATGCCTGCTCTGTCCCTGCCTAGGTGTCAGAGCTGGAGACCCTGCCTCGAGACGTGTCCCGGCTGGCCTATACCCAGCGCATCCTGGAGATCGTGGGCAACATCCGAAAGCAGAAGGAAGAGATCACTAAGGTGTACCATCGTGGCTGTGGAGGGTTGGGGCACACGGGCAGGCACGCCCAAGGGGCAGAGATGTGTAGCATGGCCACACAGGCATCCCACCCCACACTCTCCGAAAGGCAGAGCTGTCTAGCCATATCCCAACACAGAGCGGTCCTACCCAGTCCACTCCAGCTGCACCCGATGCAGTGACGCATGCCCCATCTGGATGTGAGAGCATGCCCACAAATGCCCTCAGCTGGCCGGCCAGTCCATGCCAGACAGGGGCTCATTGGCGACACTGTTCTCTGCCAGATCTTGTCGGACACAAAGGAACTTCAGAAGGAAATCAACTCCTTGTCTGGGAAGCTGGACCGGACATTTGCAGTGACTGATGAGCTTGTGTTCAAGGTGTGGGACAGGCTGGGCCAGGTGGAGGGGTTGGGGGGGGGGGCTTGGGCTACTGCCTGCCTGTTTGCTTGAAGGTTGGCTTGGGCCTATGCCCTGCATGAGCCTTGTAGGTACACATGAGCCTTGTAGGCTCGGGCCTGGCTGTGTGCCATGGAGGATGAAGTCACGGGAGTGGGAGAGGGTGGCCTTGTGGGGTCCTGAAGGTGGTAGGTGTGGGGAGTGTGGGGGAAGCCCATCGATCCCTTCTGTCTGGTCAGGATGCCAAGAAGGATGATGCCGTTCGGAAGGCATACAAGTATCTAGCTGCCTTGCATGAGGTGAGTGAAGTGTGCCTGGGGCTGCCTGGGGTGGGGCATGGTTGAGGTGCAAGCCTTCTGCTCCTGCTGTCCCCAGAACTGCAGCCAGCTCATCCAGACCATTGAGGACACAGGCACAATCATGCGGGAGGTTCGAGACCTTGAGGAGCAGGTGAGGCTTGGGGTAGGAGGGGAAACCAAGGCAGGCCAGTGGACAGCAGCTCAGTTAACATCACAAGAGGCTGTGGGGCCAGACACAGCCTATGGCTGGACTCTTCAGCCTTGCCCCTTAGGAGCTGTGTGTGTGTGTGTGTGTGTGTGTGAGCTGGCACAGGCCAGTGGCCTTCTCTGAGCCCCAGCCTCCACCCCGAAGGTCTTCACACCTGCCTCTCAGGGCCTCAGCTTGACTATGTGGTGGCTAATCCTGCCACGTAGCAAATCATGCTGTAGGTGAACAGATGACACGTGCAGAGGCCTGGCAGTGGGACACAGCAGGCTATTGTTGGAGGAGGGTGGGGGGAGCACGGGAGGGGTGTTGAGTGGCCTCAACAGAGGCAGGGTGGCGAACAGGAGCTGGGAAGGGGGCTCTGCACACTGAAGGGATGCGGTTCGCGTTGTCTTAGATCGAGACGGAGATGGGCAAGAAGACCCTCAGCAACCTGGAGAAGATCCGTGAAGACTACCGAGCCCTTCGCCAGGAGAACGCTGGCCTCCTGGGGCGGGTCCGTGAGGCCTGAGGAGCCCCTAGCACAGGTCTCCTTCTGGCCTTAGGCAGGGGTTTGGGATGTTGGGGGCCATGGCCAAGCACTTGCCCTAGACATTCCCTCTGCTGGCTGTGCAATTCCTCCTGCTATGGACTTGGCCCCAGACCCCTGCTCACCTGACCCCAACTCTTATCTGGGGTGGTCGTCCAGAGTATAAGAATTTGGCTACAGTTTATTGGGGTTAGGGCCTTGGATCCCAAATAAACGAGGGGCTCTGTCTGCAGTCTAAGCTGAGGCATGGATGGGGACATAAGGCACAGGGCGGGGGAAGCGGGGTGGGTGGCAGGTGAGGCATGGGGTATATTTGGCGATTCAGTGTGTGTGGCTGTGAAAGGCCACATGGGACTCAGGAGACCCACTGGGGTGCTGTGTGGGTGCGTGCACATGGTGAGATGCACAGGTATGTTCTGATGGGCTATGTGACCAAGAGAATGTTTTGGGAGCTGCAGGAGGATGTGCGTGACTGATACGCGTCTGTGTGGTTCTTGGGACCTGAGGTCCTGAAGGTACCAAGGCTGCTTGGGCACACCGCATGTGACCCTGTACCTGTGGGCCTGGAGGATGGTGGGGTGTGTGCTTTGGGGTATGTGGGTATGTGGGTTGACAGGACTGTGCTTAGGTGTGATCGCAGATTTGAGGTTGCCTGGGTGTGCTGTGGCAGGCCCTTTGCATTTTGGCGCTTGTATTGTGTCCGAGGGACAGGATCATGACTGCCTGTGTAGTCTTTTCGAGCCCCTGGGGTCCTCTGTGAGAGTGACTGAGGCAGGACGTGTTTGTGGTTGGTTGCAAAGGCTCAGTTTGGCTAAAGAGCTTGTTGTAGGAAGCCGGGCCCCTCTGAGCAGCCTTGGTGCAGAGTATATGATCTAGGAGGGTAGTCAGCTGAGGATCAGGGGTCTGGCAGGCAAAACAGCACACCCCTCACTTCTTGGTTCCTGTGAGCACATCTGGGGCCTGCCACAGATGTGGGCCCAGGCCACTTCCACCCACCCACCCAGCCCCGCCCTGTTTCAGCCCCTGTCCTTCCTTCCTCCTTTCCTTGGTTTTGAGGTTAGGGGCCAGGTGTGGGGTTGGAACACCTGCTGGGCCTCTGGCTCCTCTTCTTGCGGAACTCGAATTCATCCACGGTCCACACAGCCCCCTTCTCACTTTCCACCCGCACAAAGCACTTGTGCAGGCTCAGGTTGTGGCGGATGGCATTCTGTGGAAGGAAGGCCGGCCAGGCAAGGGGCAGGGGGAGTGGGTAGGCAGCCATCCTCCGAGGTCGGCACTACTCACCAAAAACCAGCCTCCTGCCCCTTCCCAGCATGTCTGCAAGCCCAGCCTCAGGCCCCGCCACTCCTGAACTTGGCCCAGTACTGCAGAGGAATTTGAGGTCCTCCCAGCTGCCACCACCCCCAGAGGAGCTCACCTTCCAGGTGGCGGGATGGTTTCTGAAGAAGGCAAACATGCGTGTGAACCAGTGGTAGATCTCATTGAGTGTCCGCTGCTTCTCAGGAGCCTCCAGGATGGCCTGGTAGTTAGGGAGTATAGGGGTAAGGGAGCCACTCCCCCATAGTTGGGCTGAGCGTGGCAGTGTCTGATGTGGGTGGAACTGTGGGGGCAGGAGAAGGGAGGAAGGGGGATGGTGTGGGATGACAGATCAGAGACAGGGTTAGAAGTGGGGTGAGGGTCACGCCAGGACAGGGTGAGGTAGAGGGTCAGGTCTGAGGTTACAGTGGGGTCCAGCTCAGGGTTGGGCTGGGATTAGGTTAAAGGTCTGGGATAACAGTTGGGGCTGGCCTTCCCCACAGGGGCAAGGCTTCAGGGTTTGGGAAGTTTAAAAGGCCAGGAGTAGGGTCAAGTTAAGGATTTGGGAGGGGTAAAGGGCCAGGCAGAGTTAAAGGTCAGGGAAGGGTTGGTTAAGGGTTAGGCTGGGGATGGACTGGGACAAGTCAGTGGGGAGGCTGTGAGGGATAGGATGGCGTTAGGTCAGAAGTGGACCTAGTGATGTAGTTACTTTACATGTCAGGCACGTGGTCAGGTTCAGGGTCAAGAATGAGGTTGGGTCCATATAGTCGTTAAGGGTCAGGGCTTGTGTTAGGTATGGGGTGAGGCTAAGGGTCAGGGAATTTGTTTGGATTTAGGAATGGGTTTAAGGGTCAGAGGTGATGGCTACAGTGAGGTTCTGGGGTCAGGATGTCAGGATGGGGCTAGGGCTAGGTAGGGGAATGTGTGATGTTGTGTAGGGATTAGGTGTGGGCCTAGGATGAAGGTCTGGGCAGGCTCTGATGAAAGTTCTGGGAAGGCATTAGGGAGATTCAGGTGAAGGGGTTAGGGTGGGGTGAGGCCAAGGGTCAGACAGGTGTCACATGGAAGAGGTTAGAGGCAGGGTCCAGCAGGGGGATATGTAGGCACATTGGGATATATGAGGGCTGGGAAAGGAATTAGGATAATATCTGGGGTGGGTTTAGGGCCAGGGGCAAAGATCAAGTTAGTTTTTGGGCTATTTTACAGGTCCAGGAGGGGTTAAATATGGGGTTCAGGTGGGCACGAGGGAAAGGGTGGGTTGAGGCCCTGAATCTGGCTCACACTGGCCTGGGTAGTGGTTAGGTTTGGGTTTGGGGACAGGTCTGGGGTGAAGCCAGTGTGTGTGGGGGTCACATCTGAACTTGGGTTTGTTCGTGTAGGAGCCTATCCTGGGGACACTCAAGAGGAAGGCTGGGAATGTGGGAGGCTGGTCCCCACCCCATTTCTTTTCCTTCTCCTTGGTCTGTGCTGCCCACTTACCCAGCGGATGAGGGTGGCATAGGTGAAAGGGGGCCGCATGTCATGGAACTTGAAGTAATCCATGTTGTGGAAGAACTCTGTAGGGGTGGAGAAGAGTCAGGTCCCATCCTGGGGCTCCTTGCCCCCTCTCCCATCCTCCAGTCTACACAGCTAAAATCCCTTGCTAATAGCACCAGGCTCCAACATCACGGTTGTTGTGCTCAGCACTGGACATCAATTATATCATTTACTGTTGTACCACTCCCACTGCAATGGGCCCTATTGTCCCCAGAGTTTAAAAGAAATGGAGTAACTTGCACACCAAGGAGATATAACTGGCCAAGTGGCAGAGCCAGGATGATGCTCAAGGGTGCTGATCCCTGTTAAGCTCATGGCCCCAGGCCTTTTGGGTAGTAGGGGATTCTCGAGCTTGGGAGAAGGGAAGGGGAGAGTCCCTTGGAGTTGCTTAACCAGTTCCCTTCCTTCTGATGATCAAATGGACTAGCTGAAGCCAGAATGAGTGAGCCCCAGCCCCCAGGGGAGATGGGGCTAGACATTAGAAACCATAGTGGGGGCCTCGCAGGCCTTGGAAATGCTGAGAGGCAGCTTTTGCAAGCAGTTGCATTTTCCCAAAGCCTGGGTGGCAGTGCTGGGGAAGAGCACTATTGGGGCTCCTCCCTGTCTCCCACTCAGTGCCAGTCAGGGGCATTAGGGGTTCAGGGGGCACCAAGTAGGGCATGGGCCATCCTTACCTGGGAACGTGCTGTTTCCATGGCTGCCCCAGAGGTGCCTCCGCACAGCAAACAGGCCGTCGGGGGCCTCCTGGGGGCTGGGCCAGGCTGGGCCTGTGGCAGCTGGGGTGCCAGTGGCCACGATGCAGCAGGAGCCCTTGTCAGATGACGCCTGCAGGAAGAGGGAGAGGCTGGTGATTCAGAGCCTTAAACTTTCCACTTGAATTTTAAATAAGTGTTTCTTTTAAAAGCAAGGGAGCTCTCTTCTCAATTCCAGTCTAGTGTGGAATCCCATGAAGCAGTGTGAGCCGTATTTATTAGAGTGTATGTGTGGACCTGTGTGTGTGTGTGTGTGTGTGTGTGTGTAGAGCACCAAAACTGGGGCTGTGAGCTGGGGTTGAATTGGGCTCCTCTTCTCCCCAACTGTGACCTGTGACCTTAGGAATGACAGTAATACCTATTGAGGATTAAATCCATTTGCCCTAGCAAAGTGCTCAGAAATGGTGCCTGACACCCGGGGCCAGCTCCGTGGTTGTGTGACCTGTTGAATCACACAGGTCCCTGCACTTTGCTTACTCCTCTGTGGTTGTCATCTTGAAACCTAAGCCTTGTGTTGTTCTCTTGCACTGGACCCTGCGAGTTACATAGTCCTGCCAGCGGCACAGGGTCTGTGTTCTGTAAGTTTTTGGCTATTTGCTGTTGCTTTGAGAACTCAAGAGCATTATGTTTTGGGATCTTAGGGTTAGAGGCTTTGTAGCTGGAGGGGACACATTTCCAGGTCTGGGCATGTTTGGAGCTGGGGACAGGGGCCCAGATGTCCTGGGGCCTGGGTGCAAGGACAAGTCCCCATTCCTCCCCCCACCCCCAGCAGTCTGTGCCACCTATGGACCTGGGATGGCTCACCGTGGATGGAGCTTTGGTCAGAGCCATCTTCCCAGCCAGGTGGGCCTGCATAGCACCCAGCTTCTCTTTCTCCAGCATGAGCTGTGAGGATGGGCACAAAGTGAGGCCTCAAGTTGGCCTTTCTCCACCACACCTTTGCTTGGGCTGTGGCCTTCTCTGGGAGTGCTCTACCCCCTCCCGTTGTGCCAGCCCCCATCCTGGGTGAACTTGGCTCCTGGCACAGGGTAGACATAAGGCTTGCCCATCACCCCCCAACCACCCCTCCCCCCACATCACCTGCTGTTCCAGAGACTGCACCACCTCCCTCTGGAGGAGACACTGTGCCCTGCCCTTCTCATCCAGGAGATGGTCCACCTGGCAATGCCTGGGTCAGGGGGAGATTCCATGTGGGTGACAATGGTGGGCCTGGCTTCCTGGCTCAGATGTTCCAAGTGAGGAGGGCCAGACACTCTGGGAGGTCTCTCTTCAGAGTCTCAGCCTCCCTCCCCTCTACCTCAGTCTCCCTCTTACACGTGCTGTTCCTTCAACACACACTACTTGGCATTTCCTGATGCCAGGCCTGAGCTTGCCACCAGAGCCTGGCCAGGGCTCTGGAGATGATGTTGGAAGGCTGGTGAGCTGAGAGCAGGCCAGGTAGTTGAGGGCAGGAGAGGCACCCCAGGTGGAGGGGACAGCCTGTGTAACGACCTGGTCGTGAAGAAGACAGGGTTCCTGGGTGCTGAGTCACCACTGATAGCTGGGTCTGGTTGGAGAAGGGGGTGTGTGTGTGTGTGTGTGTGTGTGTGTGTGTGTGTGTGATGGGGCTGAGGGAGGCAGGAGCAGCCGCTATGAGAATCTGGGACTTAGGGGATCAATAAAATCAGGCTGGTGTGTTGGTATGAGGGATAGCAGGGCAAAGCAGTTAGGAGTGTGTTTTCTTGACTTGGATTCAAACCCCAGCTCTGTCACTTAGGAATTGGGTGATCTTGATCAAGACACTTAACTTTTTTTTGGCCTCAGTTACTATATCTGTAAAATGGAGGTACATAATAGTATGCACCTCTATTATGATGCCCCATCACACAGATGAGGAAACCAAGGCCCAGAGAAGCTAAGTAACTTGCCCAAGGTCACATAGCCAGTGAGTGATAGAGCCGGGATTTGAACCTACAGTCTCAGCCTTTGCCTTTTGCCTCTTCACTACCTATGAGGCCTGAGCCGAGACCCGTACCACAGGCCTCTTCTTACAAACTGGGGACCCTCCTTGACAGGATAGGGCCTGGGTCACTCACTTGAGGAAATCCTCTGGCTCCTCGAAGACCTTCTCACATCCGGGCCACTTGCAGACACCATTTGCCAGCAGTGAATAGGAGCCCTGGGGCACGGTCGAAAGGGTGCTAGGGGGACAGAGGGTGTCAGGGGAGGGAACACCAGGGCAGGGGACCTTCCCAGCCTTGTCCACTGACCTGTCCTTCCGGGGTGTGCTGGGGCTTGGGAAGGCGCAGAGCAGTGCCGGCTCCCTGGACACCCACTCCAGGCTGGCCACGTTGATCCCTGTAGGTCAGGACAGGGCACATTTGAGGACTGTGGGCTGGGCTCGCAAGCTCAGCCCATGGAGACTCTCATTTTGAGCTTCCCACCCTCCTGAGCCTCTCAGGCCCCAACTCGCAGCGGGTTCTGTTGTCCCTCACGTCCAAGGCTTCTGGTGGAGCCGCTCAAAGACTGCCATTTGCGAGTGCTGACATTTTGACTATGCAAAGATCTGCGGTTCCGTGATTTTGACATTCTGCATCTTTAAGGTTCTGAGCCTGACATTTTTTTGGAGGTTGGAGTTTCCAAGATGATAAGACCTGATGCCTCTGCCCTCCTGAGGGCCACCATGCAGCAGCCTACACTGCTCATGTTCAAGGACTCGGGGGCTCAGGTTCTGTAGAGCCGTGGGGTGGGGTGTTACCAGGTGGCAGGCCGGGCCGGGCCTTGAGGGAGAAGACGCCAGTGGCAGCAGTGGGTGGCGGGAGGCTGATCATAGCTGGGCTGTCCAGTGGGCGCACCTGCAGCACGGGGGTCCGAGCATGGGTATCCACTGTTGAGAGCTGGGGGCACATACGGGCTGTGGTTCAGCCTGCCCCCGCCCAGTTCTCCCATCTGCTCCCTCCTCCTTGCCCAGTCCGGATCAGTACCTGGTGCATGAAGTGAGGCCTGTCCTGGAGGAGTGCTTGCAAGTGGGGCGAGGGGCCCAGGCGTGCCCCAGAGGGTGCCACCATGACTAGGGGCACTGTAGGCAGCTGGAGGGAGAAGGCAGGTGGGTGAGATGCCATCCTTCTCCTCACCGTTCTACATGTCTAATTCATATACTCCTCACCACAAGCCCATATGGCAGGGACTCTGACCATCCCCAGTGTACATATGTGGAAACTGAGGCTCAGGAAGAGTGAATGAGTTTTTCAAGATCAAACAGCTAATAAGTGGCAGAGCTGGCCTCAATCCTATCACTTCAACTCTTTGGGCTCCAGCCCTCCCCTCTGTCACATGGGGATAGGGACATATGCCTGTGGGACCATAGTGGGATTTCCTCTCCTGACACAAGGATTGGGAGGTCGGGGAGAGCCTCGAATCTCTGAGACCTGCTAACTGGGGACTTTCTTGGCCCTGTGACATCTGCATAAGTCACAGACTTGCCTGGGACCCAGAAAACCACTTCCTGTGCCCCAGCTGGGCCCCCCGCCCAGTGCCACAGTAAAGGTCGGCACCTGTAGGCCCAGGTACCCCACCCTGCCTGCCCCATCCTGGGCCCTGGGTCTCACCTGCAGCTGCGATGGTGGCATGGGGTTCAAAGAGGAGGTGGCATGGGCCCCGCCTCGGAGGTCCCGGCCCTGGAAGGTTGCCCCTGGGCCCTTGGCCCCTAGCAGGTCTGAAGCTTTGGGTGCAGCCCTCCAGCTGGGTGAGGCTCCTGGGGATGGGCCAAGTGCCAAGGAAGGGGCCGAGGGCTTGGCTGGCCTGGGGTTGGGCATTGGGTCCTTGTTCGAGGGCAGGCTGTGGGGACAGAGGGGAAGAAGTTACACATGTCCATGGTGGGGTGTGTGTGTGTGTGAACTACTCAACCACCTGAACCACGTGGATACCTCCACTGGTCACAGTAGGCATCCACTGGGGCATGTCCCCAAGGGCTCCCCAGCTGGACCCCAGCGCTGATCACGTGTATGTGCGGCACACACCGCACATACATTGGTGTCAGGAATACAGGTATGCGTGTGTCTCCACACATGTCCCATGTACAGATGTGCACGGGTCCAGGACTTGGCTTGCCTGTGCATGCTGGCACAGCCCTGGTGGTGGTATGTCCTCTACAAGGGAGGTGGGGGTTTGGGGAGGTTTGTGGGGCCCCAGCCAGGGCAGGTCTCAGCTTTATTCCCCCAACCACTTGAGGCTTGTCTCCAAGCCTCAGCCCCCTGGGCCTCCCTGCACTCTGCAGAGGCCACGTGACCTTTGCTGATCCTACTGGGATTGGTCATTGACTCTCCTGGTGACATTATTTTATCCCAGTGACCTAGCATACACAAGAGTGGAGGGGGGCATGGACTCAAGATCCCTCTGGCTGCTGTGAGAGGGACAGACTCTAGAACGGTGAAAGTAGGGGTACTGGTGAGGAGGCTCCTGTGATAGTTCAGGCAAGTGACAGCTGTGGCACAGGCCAGGATGGTGGCAGTGGAGATGGTAAGAAAGTGGGTGGATTTTGAGTGTTTTGAAGGTGGAGTCAGAAGAATTTGCTGGCAGCTTGGATGTGGTGGGGGTTGGTGAGAGAGGGAGGGTCCAGGTGACCTCCAGGTATTTGCCTGAGCAGCAGGAAGGACAGAGCGGGCATCACCTGAGATGGGGGCTATGGGGACAGCAGGGTTGGGGGTGATGACCCCAGGTGTGGATGGACACAAAGGGTCTGGTGTTAGACATGCAAGTGGAAATACTGACTGGGCAGCTCAGTACAGGAGTCTGCGGCTCAGGCCGGGGTGGGGTCTAATCATCTCTGGGCTCCTGCCCCGCACAGAGCTGACATGGCAGGTGCTGGAGAGGGGAGACCAGCTCTCTTGAGCCAGGGCCTGTGGGAGCATCTCAACTCAGCCCCCACCAGAGTTTATCCCAACTCTGCTGTCCAAGCCTGCACACATGCTATATGCCCTGCCTGGAATGTCTGCTCTTCCTTGGTATCCCCTATCTGAGCCCTATCCAGAAAGCTCTCCATAATGGCTCCTTTGCTGAGTCCTAGAACCTTACACTCTGTAACAGGCAGGGCTTCAGTTTCTCGAAATCCCAGTCTAAGAGGAAGCCAGAGCTGGACTACCTAGTCCAGCCTACATTTTACTGAAGGGGCTACCAAGGTGCAGCGTTCCACAGTCCTGTGGCAATGTGAGAGCTCCAAATCTTTCTCCAGAAAGTGTGCATGTGTGCACATTTCACAAGGCCCCTGCTGCGGCACTGTGTGTGTGTGTGTGTGTGTGTGAGAGAGAGAGAGAGAATCCCCACACCCCACCCACAGCACTACAGCACTGGGTTAGGCACACAGCTGCTGCCGATAGCAGCCCAGACCAGCACAAGGAGGGTTTAGGGAAGCAGTCACTCCTTCCTTTCCTTGCTGTGAGCTCACAAGGGTTGTCAGAGCTCTAGTGCAGAGGGGGGTTGGCGGTGAGAATCCAGGTATTAAACTCTTAGGCTCTCAGGGGGTTAGAACGTTACTGTGTGTGAATCAAGAGCCTGGGTCTACAGAGGCTCAGAACTTAGTGACCATGAGGAGGTGAGCAAATGCATGAAGGCGGAGATTGGGGTGATGCTTCTAGAAGCCAAGGCATGTCAAAGACTGCCAGCAATCCACCAGTTGCTAGGCGAGCGGCACGGACAGATTCTCCCTTGCAGTGTCAGAAGAAACCAACCCTATCGACACCTTGATCTCGGACTCCTGGCCTCCAGAACTGTGAGACAATAAATTTCTGTTGTTTAATCCCTGTAGTTTGTGGCAATTTGTTACAGAAGATTGAGTAAACATATATCAATTTTTGGTCAGTTTATAGATGGTTTCCACCACTCTGGCCTGGCCCACATGGCTGCCCTCTGGTCACTTCTGAAGCTGCCTGGACGCTTGGCTGAGGCTTATAAGAAATCTCCTCCCCAATCACACCTGGAATGGTCAGACTCAGGGTAGCACTGATCAATACATTCTCAGAAAGAGGACATAGATATGGTCTGTCTGGTGGGGAACCTGGAGGGCCGGGCTGGGCAGCCGGCTTCCTGCACTGTCTGTCGGGGCGTCCCTTTCTGACTGTTTCTCAGAAGCTGCATGGAGGATGTTTCTGGGACATAGAGTGTGTTTTCATATCGGGGTCTGCATCTGGGCCCTATTGTCACTTCCCCAGATTTTCCGCCATTGACGTCATGGCGGCCGGATGCGCTGGGCTTCATCGGCACCAAGGAGGAAGAGAAGGGGGCAGATACCCCACCCCACGGGTTTCGTTCCGAGAATTGGCTGGCCCATCCTGCAGCGGGCTTGGCCCACGTGGGGGTGATGTGGGTGCTTGCGGATGTGGTGAATGACGTCCATCTGGCCACCATGACAAGCCCTGGGCCCTGTAGACCTGGCCCTTCTTGGGTCATGGAGAGGCCCAAGGTTTGATGCTTGGGGAGTACCATGTAGAGGTATTGGGACCCTGGGGGTCTTCAAATGGTACTATGCCAGAATCTCAGAATCATAGAACATCATTTCTCAGGTTCAAAGGATCCCAGAATCTCAAACCCACTCTACAGGGTTCATGGGTCCAACCTCTCAGTATAGGAAGGCTAATGTCAATGGTGTCCAAACTCGAACTTCCTGAAGGACAGGAAGGTCACTACTTCATAGAACCTCTGGCCTACCAGGCTTGGAAACGTAGCAAGCCTCCTCTTAGCCTCCCTCCTAAGTTCTGTGAAGGCAGGAGGATCGGAATCATCTCTCCTTCCCCAGCTTGGGGCTGGGCTCTGCCACTAACTAGCTATAAACTCTCCTCAGGCTCCTATATAAAGTAGGACAGTAATAGTACCCTTCTGCTAAAGTTAATGTACATGAAATGCTTAACAAAATGTCAGTGCTCAGTAAATGAACATGTACAGGGCCTTAGTCTCCCTGTCCATTCTGGGATGATGTTCCCATACTCATAGCCATTCCACAAGAGACGGAGTGAGGCGGGGAGGTAGAGACCAGTGTGCCTTCCTCTAGGGCCTCATGGCATGGAGCAGGAAAAGCCTCCGCCTTTGCTAGTAGAGAGCCCATTGCCAGGCTCTATGGAGGGGCTCCAAGATGGAAGTTACCAGGGGCCAGGGTCAACTCTGGGGACATGACTGAGCTCTATCCATAGCCAGACCCACACATCGACTGACTGACTTATGTCCCTCCAGTATCACCACCCTCTGGACACAAGGCCTCTGAACCCATGGGACTGTGGGACCCCACCCAGAGTAGCTCTTGTGAGGCTGGGTCCCACACTGGCCCATGTGGCCATGGAACCTCCTGCCTAAGTAAAGGTCCAAGTCATGAGAAGGCAGAAGGGGGAATGGCAGCAGCTGGGGGGAGCGGGCAGCTCAGGTTTCCCTCCTCCCCTCATGGGTGCTGAGAAGTAAACTGAGGCCCACGGTGGGGGGAGACAGAACCAGGGTCCCACCAAGAATCCCACGGTCTGAGCTTGGGTCTCAACTTTGCTATTGCTTCTCTGTGAGTCCTTGGGAGAAGCCCTCCTGCCCATCTCTTGGCCTCAGTTTGCCCCCTTGTACACTGGGTGGGGAGAGGCATGGAATAGAAGAGAGACAGGGCCCTTCTGCTTTGTGTCTGGGTGAGTTGCTAACATGTCTACAGGGCATCAAGTTGACAACTGCCCTTCTATCCAGGGGAGTGTCTGAGAGACAGGGATACGTAGAGACAGAGACAGAAACAGAAAGAGACAGGCAGATAGACATAGGGGAACAGAAAGACCCAGAGAACAAGAGACACAGAGAGATGGGAGAAACATGAGGTGGGACAGAGATACACAGAGAGTGAGCAATGCTGAGAGAAAGACAGAGTGACAGAGATGGGGGGAGGGGAACTCATAGGAGCAGAAAGTCATAGAAGTACACACAAAAAGGGAGACAGAAAATGAGAGAAACAAAAAGGACAAGAGACAGAAACAACAGCACAGGGAGATAGAGAGAGGGAGGGAAAGAGAGAGAGGGAGAGAGAGAGTTATGCCCCGGATAAGAACAGTTCCTGTCAACTGGTCTTTGGCTGGAGGAACTGAGGCTGCATCAAATAAGAAGGAATAATGAAGGGCAAGACGCTGGGACCTAAGGCCAGGGAATGTATTGTACTGCAAAGCAACAATCAACAAATCAGGATGGCCCAGGTATAAGAACAGACACTAAGAAACAGAACAAAATGGAAAACTCAATCACAGACCCATGTCTAGAGAGAATCGAGTTTGTGATGAATGTGGCACTTCAAACTGGGAGGCAGTAGAAGATAATATTGTTTAACAAACGTTTCTGGGACAATTAAGGGGAATATAAAGTTATTGAATGAATAATCAGTCCATTTTCCCACCCATTCCTTCTGCCCAGTTTGAAATGTCACAATCATCATGTGTCCTGCAATAAACTCCAGATCTATTAAAGAGATAAATAATAATATCTAATGCTGCTCTTGGGTTTACTGAATGCCAGGCTCTATGCTAAGCACTTAACATGGTTAAGAGATTTAATCCTTACAACAACTCTTTGAGGTAGGTACTCCTAGAATCATCACAGTACATATGAGGAAATGAAGGTACAGACAAGTTAAATGCCTGGCTAAAAATCACACAGATGGCTTGGGGTGAGACTGGGTTTGTCCCAGACAGTCTGGCTCCAGTACCCACACTCTTAACCTCCACAGCAAATGGAAAAAATGAAGCCATAAAAGAGACTAGAAGCCAACACAGGTGAACATTTATCTCATTTTCAAGGACTTTCTAAGCACAAAACCAGAGACAGCAACCACAGAAGAAAAGAGTA